TGACATGTAAGATGAGATAGAATTGAAGAGAAAGAGTCAGTCTTGTAAAAACGAGGGGGAAGGGGGAAAAGCATTTTACACATCTAGCACAAACCCTGAGAAAGAAATAAACTTGGTGTATGGGGGATAGATAAAAGGCTAGTGAGGCTGAAAAACAATGGGCAAAGAGAATGGAAAGCAAGCAAGGCCAAATGACATAGGTCTTTGTAAGCCAGAGTGATGAGTTTGGAGTTTATCCTAAGTGAAACAGGAGGCCACTGGAAGATTGTAAGCAGTAAAGTAAGATGTTTAAGATGTATGTTTAAATATTAAAACGATGTCTAGTTGATCTTGGGAAAACGACTGTCAGAGGCCAAGAGCAGAAAGAAGCAGGGAGACAGAGGAGACTACTGCAGGAATCTGAATGAGAACAGCTGCTTAGACTAGGGTGGTGGTGATACAGACGGATCTAAGTGGGCCCAATCAATATGTACTTTAGAGGAAAGGTTTGCAGGACTTTTAAGTGCATTGACTGGGGCATGAGGAAAAAAGGAATCAAAGATACTTGAGTAGATGATGATGCTGTTTACTGAGAAAGGAAAAATATGGAAAAAATAGGTTCGGTGGGAGGATAAGAGGGTTGTGGGGCAGTGGAAATCAACAGTTTTATTTTAGACATAGTAATTTTGAGGTGCAAATTACATACCCAACAGTGATATGCGGTAGGCTAGGTGGTGCAAATGGTTAAGCCCTCGGCTACTAACTAGAAGGTTGGCAGTTGGAATTCACCCAGAGATGCCTCAGAAGAAAGGCCTGGTGATCTACTTTCGAGAAAAATGTAGAACAAAATTCAAATTCACAAAAAAGGACCAGACTTACTGGTCTGATGGTGACTGGAGGGACCCCCAAGACTATGGCCCCCAGACACCTTGCGAACTCAGAACTGAAGCCACTCCCAAAGTCCACCTTTCAGCCAAAGACTATACAGGCCTATAAAACAAACAATAACACACGTGAGGAACGTGCTTCTTGGTTCAATCAAGTATAGGAGACCTACTGGGCAACATCTGCCCAAAAGCAAAGACGAGAAGGCAGGAAAGGACAGGAAACCTGAATAAATGGACATGGGGAACCAGGGGTGTAAAGAAAAGGGGGAGAGTGCTGACACATTGCGGGGATTGCAACCAATGTCACAAAACAATTTGTGTATAAATATCTGAATGAAAAGCTAATTTGCACTGTAAACTTCCATCTAAAACACCATTAAAAAAAAAATAAAAAAAAAAGTCACAGCCTTGAAAACCCTATGGAGCACAGTTCCACTTTAAAACACACAGGGTTGCCATGAGTCAATATCAATTTGCGGGCAACTGGTCTGTTTTTTGTTGTTGTCGTTGGAGAGAAGATGTGGCTGGAAAAAGACATTTGGTAATTGTTGGCATACAGATGGTTTATTTAAGCCATGCGGACACATATGATGGCCCAGGGAGTGACCACGGACCAAAAAGAGAAGAAGACTGGAGACCAGGCTCTAGTTCCTTTGAACATGTAGAGGTGGAAAGACACTGCCCAGGAAGCCTCCTTTTCTTCAGACAGGTAGCTATGGAGAAATGTGCTTCAGGACACAAGAAGGTCCTGTAACAACAGGATGATCTATAGTCTCTTGTAGGCACACCTAAGGAGCCTTGGTGGCACAATGGTTAAGTGTTCAGCTGCTAACCAAAAGGTTGGTGGTTCGAACCTATCCAGTGGCTCTGTGAGAGCAAGACTTGACCATCTGCTCCCACAAAGATTACAGCCTAGCAAACCCTTTGGGGCAGTTCTACTCTGTCACATGAGGGTCATTATGAGCCCAGCTAGACTAGATGGCACCCAATAACAACAACAGGCGCACTTAAGTTTGAGGGGGAGTGAAGGCCCTGTTGCCTTTCTGCCAGTAGATTAGAGTGAGTATTTGATACTGAATGGTGTGAGGATGAAGCTCTCTTTCTGACAGGTTTTGAAAAATAGGGTAAAAAATATTTTTAATGAGCTATGTAGATACATAATCCCACCGTGAGGCAGGAGGATGGGCAGAGGAAGGCTCTTAATGTCTGTTTAGTCCTCAGGATCTGAAAGTTCCACCTAAAAAGGGGTAACTGTGTAACAGAGAGTAGCCAGGGGCCCTTCTCCCTCAGGAAAAATGCCAAGAACTCAGCCTCAAGAAAAAGCTGGGCCCCAGGACCAGTGCCCACGCAGGGAGGCTGTGCCTTAAGAGGACTAGTTTTGTGTATTCTGCCTGTGGCGACTGGGCTTTGATGTCTGGGAACAATAGCATCGTTCTTTTTTTGTTTTTTGAGGAGTCAGGGGATATAATAAAGCATTTCTCTGAATCAGCAGGGTTGGAGAATAAAGTCAAAAATATGTGTTCATTCAGCGTCTTGTTCAATTTGCACAACTCTTTTTTGGGGGAAAATGTCTGTTTATATACTTATGATTATCTGAGATTACTTTCAAATTTATTGTCTGGGGATCATGCTGCACAGTTAATACCGTGGCAAATTACAGGAATTCTCCCAATAACAGAGCAAAGAAATCTGTGTCCCAGTAGGGAGATTTTATGGCAGTGTAAGGAAACGATTTTGGTAACTAATGATTCTGTGGTACTCTCCCTAAGCATATTTTCTTAGCTGTTGATGTCTCTACCTGAGTTCTGAGCTAGTTTTAAGTGGAAGTACAAGTGACTCCTCTGAACACTAAGGTTTACTGTAATCCACAATTCATTTTACAAAAAAAAAAAAAAAAAAAAAAAATTAATCATATGGCTGCCACATTATTCTACAGAGTTCATAATACGAGAGACACACATAGCCGTTTTGGGAGACTGGCATGTAGAAAAAGGAGCCAGTTTGCAGTATCAGAAGTGAGGAGCTGGGGAATGAATTTTTCTTTTTTTCAAGAGCAAGGATTTGATGTAGGAAGAGCATTTTTTAAAACTCTTTTGAAAACAAGAGATGAGTCTAATAGGACAAACTGCTGACTTTCTATAAAGGCAGGTTCATTTTGAATAATTGTCATGAGAGACCTAATTTTACCTTTATTATCATAATTTGCACATATTCTCCTCCAGGGTTAAATCCACTGCCAACTTGTGTGCTAACTTGGGCGTCATTTGGTGCAGTGACATAAGCCTTAGGGAAAGTGGATTCCATAACATAGTTTCCCACAATAACCTCAAATAAAAGCAGTGTGCTACCATGTTGGCTTGCTCCTTTGGCTGTATGTATATTGTCTAAACAAAGCAACTTAAGATGATACTATTTTAGGATTTTCCTCCTGCTTGGTAAATTTCTGGAAAAAATTAAATATTAATGACTAAATGTGGAACTGCCAAAACATAAGTAGGGTTGAGAGGGAATCTGCTATTGTCTGAGGGTCAATAGTCAACTAGAAGGCTTTGAATAGCTTTGTTCAATAAAATGTGAGCAAGATTACTTTCTAAATACCCTGGCTCCCCTATTAACTCAGTTGGACAACAAAACCATGCCTGGTCCCTTAGTCAGGATCCTATGTGGTCAACCAGTTGGATAACATCATGTGTCATGGCTGACCAGGATCAATCTGGACATTTCATCCATGGCTACTCAGGGATGAAGTGTCCAGATTTATACTAGCTAGAATCATCCCAAACTATTCAACATAAATCATAATCACAAGATTTTGATGAATTCCTTCTGGGCCCCAGATGATTTACTAGATGTATAATTCATACATATTTTCTCCAATCCTTACCACAATTCCACAAGGTAAGTATGGTTAGCCCTATTTTAAAAATGAAGAAACTGAAGCTCAGTGAGGTTAAGTAGCTTCTCCACAGTCACTGAGATTATAAATATCTGAGTGAGGAAGAACAACTAGTGAATTCCGGTAAAGAGAAACACAGGATTTAACTATACTTATTTTCAGACTCAAAACCAAAAGCCAGTGTTGCCAACTGTGGCAAATGTTAGTAGAAATCATGGCATCTACATCGGGGCTGTGGCAAATACGGAAAGCAATCAGTGATATCATCAGTAGTGCTGTATTTCCCTGAAGTTCTGTCTTTTCCCAAAGCCTACCGTGATGCTTGTCCTGGCCTGCTATTTAGTACAGAACGCAAATCTGGTTGCTCAACTTTAAGGCTGTGCATCTGTCAAAATGCCAACTAGTGCTGGGGAGTAGGTATAGAACTTTAGTTACAAGAAACTCTGATGTGCAGTAGACTTATCCATGATCTTAAAACATACATTTCTGGACTCTACACTAATTCCATAGGTTGGGATGGGCCCCGGCATTTGCATTTTTTAACAAGCTCCAGGTAATTCTATTGCCTACCGAAGTTTGAACAATTACTGCCGTCAATGTTATGTTTGGGAGGATGATGTCTTACTCAGAAATCTGAGTAAACACGAGCTATAGTTGTAGCTTGGAGGAAAAAATTCAGCTTATAAGGAATGTCTAAAGGGATGTCCACGAAATGTACACTTGGCCTGCTCACTTTGGTCAGGATTACTTTTCCCTGGCCTGATCATTGTCTATTACTTTCTATTCACTCCCATTAATATCTGCATCAAGAGAGTACTGTATCAGGTCTCCAGTAAGTATGTTATTTCAGTTTCCCAACAAGTACAGAGTTTCATGGAACTAATCTAAAATTTATATTTAAAGAACATAAATTTTGTTCTTGAAGATGATTCTGTGATTTTTTCTATTTTTTTTTTAAGTGCTAATTGTAATGGGAAGCTGATCAATCAATCTAACCATCAAACCAATCCATCCTCTCCATACAGGCACTGGAGAACCTCCGGGATTCATGATAATACCGACCAACTCACTAACCTTGAGAAGTACAATGACAATGTTCTGGCAGTGATATTAATTGTATCTCTGGGCTGTCATCTGCATAGGCCTGGTTTGCTATCACATTCCTTGAAATGGTAGGAAAGAAAGGGTGAAGAAGGCAAATGAGCTCCTGGGGGAACTGTATATGATGTATTCTCTACCTGGCACTGAAGTTCCAAGCGCAACGAACACCACCGCAGTCACAGAATCTTTCAGACCAATGGTGCAGCCGAAGTGGGAAGCCAGGTCTCCAATGAAAGCTGTCAGTAGGCCGATCATGAGGATAGATACAATGAAACATGCCCAGCCATTCCAGTATTCTGTCGGGGGGACGAAGGCAAAGAGGACCTTCCAGAACACAGTCAGAAAGTGCATCACATAATCGAAACAGGAGGGCAGCTTCTCCTCCCCGCATTCGTCATCATCATCATCTTCCCCTGGAGAGAAAGGAATGAAGCACATTTCTTTACAGTTCATGCCAGCAGGGTCTTCCTCTTTCCCAATCCCTCCTTCCTAGGCTTCCTAGGCTTGTCATCCCCACCTCCCTGAGTAACAATGAGGTCATTAGAGATGGGTGGAGCTTGGGGTCTTCCAAGAAAGACAATCATAGTTAATAAATTAATCATCAGAGTACAGACATGACCCCTCTCTATGGCTTATGGGTCAATGGCATAAACTCAACCCCCAGTCTGTTCTGGTTACACAATCAACACACTTGTCCTACTCTCATCACTGCCAGTGGGATTTGTCACTGCAGAGAAATGGAAAAAGATTTCTTCCAAAAGGTTGGAAAGCCCTATGCCAGGCTCAGAAAGAAGACTCTTTTGGAGAAAGATAACTGTGGACAGTGCTCCTCTACCAGGGTCCTTTTCTTCCAGCCCCAAGTCCAGCTTTGAGGGACTAATGGTTATAGAATCACCTACAGGACAATGTTCTAACAAGCTCTGGGCCCTACATATTTTTCCAGCTTCATCTCCTGCAACTACTTCAAACTCAAACCTTGTCCCAGTCAAACAGAATTACTTGTATGTTTTCAAGCTGTATGTACTGTTTCCCACTCTTACGTCCTTTAGAATAAAATGTGCTTGTACTGACTCAATCCCTCCCTCTATATCCTTACCCTCTCATGCTTTAAAACTCATTTCTTCTGTGAATCCCTCTCTGGCCCCACCTTACCCTGCCAGCCAGTGCTGGGGACCCTTCTTCATAGCCCTCACCACTTGTAACACTAAATCAGTGGTTCTGGAAGTGGGTCCAGAAGCAGTAACTTCAGCATCACCTGAGAACTTGTTAGGCATGCAAATTCTTGGCCCTACAGAATAGAAGGAGAAGCTATCTTTGTTGGAACAAGCCCTCCAGAGGATTCTGTTCCTCACCAGAGTTTGAGAACTGCTGCTCTGGATTGTATTTATTCACTTTCCTCTCTTCTCCAGCTGACTGTGAGCTCTTTGAGGGCAGGAATGTGTTCACTTTTGTATCCTTAGACTTCAGCACCATCTCCAGCATATGAGCTGGGCTAGTGTTTATTAAATTAATAAATACATGTGTAGATTTCCATCAGCTTTATACAACTATGTAATTATATAATATGTATAAATACATCACAGTTTTGCCAATTAAGTCATACTATCAATGCAAAGAATGCTCACTATTTGAAGGAACTAAGAAGTCAAGAATAGTTTTCTAAAATAGAAATTCCATTTATAATGTGATAATAGCCTCTGTTTGCATGTTTTAAAATTAGGATATTGAATGTCAACTTTTCTTAATGTCATAGCAAATATATATTCATGCATTTGGTAGCCATTTCAGAAACAAAATTTCTCCTTGAAGATTTTAGGAGCCCTGGTGGTGCAATGGTTAAGAGTTCAGCTGCTAACCAAAAGGGCAGCAGTTCAAATCCACCAGCTGCTCCTTGGAAACCCTATGGGGCAGTTCTACTCTGTCCTGTAGGGTCGCTATGAGTCAGAATTGACTTGATGGCAACGGGTTCGAAGACTTTGTTCATCCCCTCCAACCTCATCATCAGGGACCTACTTTACTTCATCCAGCTAACGTGGCTGGAAGCAGGTGGGGCTGTCAAATCTTCTAGCTGACTACGTTACCTGAGATCGCCAGCATGGAGCAAATTCATATGAACTTGGTGACACGCTCTATGGTGAGGCCATCTGAAGCAGATCATTACTGGGAAACCCTCTTACAGCAGAGGAGCTTTGAGGGAAAAGTGCCTCTCACAAAACATGAAGAAGGCAATGTCTGGATGTATCACCTGTCACCTTTACAGGGGACAGATAAGGGGCAAATGCTCTTCAATGAGCATGGTCAGAATTATCATGCAAATAAGCTTTGGGGATCTGTGGAGAAAGTAGCCTCACCCTTGAGCTTTGGAAGATCTCCAATAAACTGTTGGGAGGAAGCCCCCATCAGATGAATTGAATCACCTTTGGAGACTTACTTGGTGGGGAACTTGCAGTCAGGTCAGCTGACTGAAAAGTGTGTGACTCATTAGATTGAAAAAGCATTGTTGATAGTTTCCTACTTCTTGTCAGTGTTCACGCTGTATCTACTTCATATTTCTAATGTCACCCTTGGAGTCCCTGGGTGGTGCAAATGGTTGACACGCATGGCTGCTAATCAAAAGGTTGGAGGTTTGAGTACACTCAGAGGTGCCTTGGAAGAAAGGCCTGGGGAATCTTCCAAAAACATCAGCCATTGAAAACCCTATGGAGCACAGTTCTACTCTGACACACATGCGGTTGCCATGAGTCTGAGTCGACTTGAGGGCAGCTGGTTTTACTGGTTATGTCCACCATGTCTGACAGCAGAAGATGCTTCTTAATAAAAGTGCCCCTTTGGAAGCCCCCTATGTCATGACTTTTATGTGCAGGAAGAGCCGTTCAGTATTTCTATTACTCTTCCTTTCTTATTCCCTTATCCATCTCTGCTTTCTCATTCTTTCACCTTTCTTCCCAGTTCTCTTTACCCTACATGAGAGCTATGAGTCAGAATCGAATCCATCACAATGGGGTGATCTCCAGGTAGAACTCAGTGTGAGAGCTGCAATTGTCAGGGTAGATGTGAGGGAGGGCCAAGAACAGAGAACTGGAGAACCATGCTAATTCTTTCCCTCCCTCCTCTCCTCTCCCAGTCTATACTCCAAAGGGGGTACCCATACCCGGGGAAGCTCAACAGGATACATTGGGGCTCAGAAAAAATAGACCTTCCAGTCATATTTCTCTTGTATCTGATCTTTTTTAATTTCTATCTTTGTGGACATTTTATAATTTCATAGGGCACATGATTAAAACAGTTTAGAAACCACTGCATTTTAATCAGTAATTTCCTAGAAACACAGATGATGTGCCTCTTGGTCTCTACAAAATGTCTTAATTTCGGGTGTCTAAGTCTCATATTCTGAACATGAACGAGAAAACAAATACTGAGCTTCTCAGAAGAAGTGAAACAAATAATGAGCTTCTCAGAAGTGACACTTATAAATTTAGAGTAGATAATGTATTTGTCTTCAAGATGGAAATAATAACACCTTTCCCACGAGGAATATGCAGGGGAATAATCTGATCACCTCTGCAAAATGTCTGAGGATATTTTAAGGTAATGGTTATCGTGGTAGTCATTATTTTCCTACTTAGGATTGTTAGTGTTTCCTCGTCATTATTTAATTGCTTAGTTAACATGCTGAGCCCTAAGGTTATATTTTAGGCTTTTAAAAACAAAATATAATCTTTCCCTGCAGAATTAACTTCAAGACCTGTATGTGTGTGTTAGAGAGATAGAGATAGAGAGATAAAGAGATCGAGATAGGGCGAGAGTGAGAGAGAAAGAGAAAGATTTCCTTTCCTCCTATGAGCTTCCTGCATTACAAAGACTCTTCAAGGTTTTTAATGCTTTAGTCTGGAATGAGGCCATCAATTTTATTGTATTTGAAAGTGGCTTCCCATCCTTTTCCCTGTGATCTTGATGCTTTTTATAAATTATAATCTTCAACTCAGATGTCATTTAAATATTAAAAATGACCAATGATTACCATGCATGATGCCCAGTTACCCCATCTTGGGGAAAGACAAAGAAATATTGTGTTCATCCATCACCATCTGGCTATACTCTAAGTCTGTTTCTTGGGAAGAGCAGTGGAGCATTAAAAACATTTTTTTGAGCAACTTTTAAGTGAAGTCCAAAATGACAGTATCTGCCATTCTGTATGTGTGCACCACCCACCTCCTGCCCCTCAGGGTCACTGGGGTTGCACAATTCTTTTCAGTCTCTGCTCTGCATTAGCAAAGAAACAGACAGGTTGGTGGATTTGCTTTTATGGATCTTGAGCAAATTCCTCTTACCTCAGAATCCTTCCTTTCAGCTTTATGGATTCCACTAATGGGAAGACGATAAACAAGCTCTATTCAATTAATCCCTTCCACTCCACGGCCTTTGAAACGGCCTCCTTGGTACATGTTGGACTTCCTAAACCGAACTACAGAAACAGCTAAATCATTAAAATCACAGATACTGGAGAGTGGTATCACTTCAACTATTGATACAGTAGTCATACCGACTCTGCTCCGGAACATGATAACAAGATCATCACCAGCAGAATTGATCATGAAAGTCAGTCCCTGGGCTTGGTACCTTCAGGTAACACATGCTCTAAAGTAAGGCAGGAGTCCCTGGATGGTGCAAATGGCTAATGCACTTTGCTGCCAACTGAGAAAGAGGCTGCTGGGGTGTAGGGGACACCTGGGTGAGAAGACTTAAGTCAGCTTCTAGCTCTGACAGTGGGGCAAGACACTTAACCTCCTCCAGCCTCAGTTCCTCATCTGTCAGATGAGTTTCCTAACTCTCACATCGCAGAGCTGTTGTGACGACCAGAAGAGGAAATGTTGAAGTCCTCTGTAAAACTGTAAACCCCTTTACAGACAGATGTGTCATATTCTATCATTGTTACTTGTCAGAGAGAGGCAGTAAATCAATGCGGCCTGAGCATCCTGATTTCACTGAATCTATACTGACCAAGTTCACTGAATCTATATTGAACTAGCCATTATCACTACAGTTTCTGAGCTGCTTGATTTTAAGAAAGAAAGGAACAAAGGGAGGGAACAGGATGGAGTGTCTACTAAGTGACAGACACTGAGCTAACTTCTTTTACATAACTGATCTTCCTTAATCTTTAACAATAACCCTCTGAGATAGGTATTATTAATCCCATTGTACATAAGAAGGACTTGAAGTTCAGAGAATTGAAGTGACTGTCTCAAATAATCACACAGTTGGTAACTGGCTAAGCTGGGATTTGATCTAACAGCCCAGGAAACATTTTGCTACACAAGGTGCCTTGTTGAGGCAACTTGAGTTTAGAATCCATCTCATATTGATTCAGAGTTTGAATCTGAGGATCTTCCATTGCCTAGTGCTATATAAA